GGTCTTGCTTCCCCCATAGCCACAGCCTTGGATTCCAACAGAAATCAGGCATGACTCTGTCTTCCAGCTGCCCAACCTTCATCCTGCCAGTTTCTAGCTTCTAGATCACATAACTCAACTTTCTACTCTGTCTTTGTCTAACTACCAGCAAGTTGAGGGAGGGGCCCCCAGACATTTGGCATCTGGCACAGAACCACTTCCTTTGTTACCTTAAAGACCCATACTAAGAGGGCCATTACCTCTTCAGGAAGCTAGCTTGGCTATTCCAGGAATTTGAACCTTACTTAGATTTTAACACTTGCTGGATCCAGGAATTAGAAGGTTCTCAGCGTACAGCTTATGCCCACCAACCCATAAAACTAAAAAATACATTTCATTTCTCTTAACAATATAGTAAAGTGGTGCCATAGCTTCTAATTCCCTACTAAGGAGGGCAGCACTGGGTGGTCCATTGCTGGTGCCAGACCAGGAAAGCTCCGTTCAATTCTTCCATACAACATAGCTGTGCCATGCAGGGAGAAGGATTGTGGGAAAGGCTGATGTGGCAGTTGTCTCTGTGAGGATTGCAATGAAGTTAAACCTTTGTATAGGATTGCTTGAATCTGCCTGAGCTATCATGTATCAAACACAGCAGGATAATACACAGACAGTGAACCCCATGCAATTTGTGCTACCTTGCTAGATATCTTCACCATTACTCCACTCCTTCTGACAATGCATTTCAGGCAGATGACAAGAGATGCACTGTGTTTAAGTACAGCTGTTTTGCTTTGCTCAAAACTTTTGAGCATGTGCCAGGATCATGAGAATCTGATCAGTCCTCAAATTGCAGTGTTAAAAGCTGCAGACAAAGTTGTTGTCTGATTTTCTTCTCTCTCTCTCTATTTTTAAATCCCGCAGAGATAGAAAAACAATTAAAAGTGAGGCTAATGAAGGGCACTTCTTGCATTTCACTGTGGCCCCCTGAAACAGGAATTAAATTACACTGAATTTTCACTAGAGAATTGTATCCGACAGATTGTTGAGAACAAGAGAAGATTAATACTCTTATCCTCAAAGCAGTAACTGCCTGGACGGTTTGATAATAAAAAAATGCAAGCACATTGTTATAAAGTGAATAAAAGCAGAGAAAATAATTGGCTCTAAGAGAACAGCAAAACCAAACAAAGCAATCTGTATTTCACCTATTGTGTAATCCTGTTGTTTATTTTGGAGTAAGGAATGGAGAAGCAGTTTTGGAACAGACATGCTGAGCTCAGACTAGCACTCTTTGGATTCAATCCTAAATGCATTTACTAGGAAGGAAGCTCCATTGACCACAGTGGGATTTACTTCTGAGTAAACATGCAGAGGATTGTGCTGCACAGCAACCATCACTCATAGTGGCTTCTAGTGTGCTGTTAGCTTAACCAATTTTATAAACGTCTAATCAGAAGTAAATTCAACTGAGTTCAATGGTATTTACTCCTGGATAAGCTTGCATAGGATTGTAGCCTAATCCATATTGTTGTTTTTTTTAAAAAAAATTTAGATGGTTCTAGCTGTCCTTTCCAAACCCTTGTGTCATTCTTGCAGATAAAATTCAGCACAAACTCCTGTGGACATCATTTTTAATAAAGTTCAAGAGGTATATTAATCTTAGGTTCAAACATCTTGCTATATGGTATTCTATAATTCCTCTTCTCAGCTGTCCAGGGAGAGCTGCAGGTTTGAGAGGAAGAAGGGTGGTGGGTAAATCTTTTCACCCTTTGGTCATTATTTCAGTCCAGAAATGCTCCCCGGTTGCTTTTTCACCTGCAGGAAAAAAAAATATAGGTCCCTAGGGGGACATTCTGGACTAAAAGAAACAGCTGGGAGAGGAAACTCTCGAGCTCAAAAGGACTTGGGAGGTGATGGAATGATTATTTAGCCTCCCTCTCAACATCTTTCCTCTCAGTCTCCTAGCCTGTCCAGGCTGCTTTTGATTTTTTGAAAACTGCTATCAATAAAATATGTTGCCCATATGTTCATAAAGCATATACAAAAATGGAGTAAGGTACAAGAGTCTCTGAAGATGAGAGCATTTAGAGAAGTCAAGCTCCCACTTCCCCCAAAACTGGCAAGGACTGCCCTCACGCTGTCACTGAATTCAGATGAGTTAGAGAGCAGAGCACAAGCTCTCACCCTCTAGAGTTGAGAGACAAAAGGGAAGCAAATGGCTTGTCAATTTAAAATTTCATTAATGAGGATTTATAATCTGCTTAATCATAAATACCTCAGTTTTACATAAAACCTCTTTTTAGCCTGGAGCCTAAAAGTGCCTCCCCCCCAAAAAAAACATGCACCCTCAGACCCCATGCACCTGTACCCTGAGCCCAGCTCTGCCACAGGGTCATTTAAATTACAAAGCGGAAATGGTTGTATATTCAAATGCACATCCTATTACAGACACACCATCTGGGACCCTAGCCATCATCTGACCCTACTAGGGCTTTTGAAGGCTCAGCTTAGCATTGGACTTTCTTGAATCAGCTCTGGATGTCCCTGGGAGCTCTCCAAGGTCCTGTAGTAACTGAATCTGAAAGCAGCAATTTCAGCCCACTTCTCCGCTCTCCAAAATCTTCTCTTTTCCACCGCATCCCACTGTCTGCTTCTGGTTGCTCTTAGCTCCAAGTCAATTGCCCCAGACACTGTTTAGCACTCTTCAGATGGTCAGCCTATCAAACACAGCAGTGACACCAGCAGTGGCTATGTGAGCTGGTTTTCCTCAGGATAAAACATAGCAAATTCTGTGTAACAACTGCAGACTTACTGCATTAACAACAGAGTTCTGAAAGTTCCCATATCTTGGCTTGGTATAATACTGTATCCTTTTCCCTTCCCTTTCTCCAGAAACCAACTTCTGCAGCTGGAGTAATGTTTCAGTAGCATCCAGAGCACCCCCATAATTTAAAACAATAAGAACAAAGGCAGTAGATCACATATTTTAGTATGTGTGGGAAGGCTCCCCAGTTCATTATGATTTATTGGTCTCTGAAGATCAAAGATCCAACATATTCTGGAGACTTCATACTGTGGCGAGTCTGCCCATCTTATAAAACTATTAATAATTTAATCTGTTCAGTTTCGGCTAATGTGCTTCTGAGTGATGTGCCAGCTGGGAAAAATGATACATTTATGAACTTTCTTAAACAATGCCATTGATCACATCTGGTGTCAGCTTCTTGAGAGGAGCTAATTCTTCAGCAATTTTGTCCCTGATTAGGTCTGCTCTCAGAAAATCTACTTACTGAATCTGGCACTGGGGGGAAACATTACATTACAAGACAGAAAGCTGGATTTCAAATTTGTTATTGGTTGAAGATGATCAAAAATCATAAATTGTTGAGTGGCATTAATTTGAAATCATCCAAAACTGGCACTGAAAAATTGACATAGATATCACAGATCTGGAATTCCTTGATATTCCTTGAGCTACTGTAACATATAACATAAAACAACTGTGTATCAGCATTTTTTATCTTTGTAGGAGCTGAAATATGAAATACAGCACAATGTGGGCTAATTTATAGGACAGTGTGTGGAGTGAGAGAATATCAAATGAGGTGGGTTTTCCCTCACAATATTAATATAGAAAAATGGTTCTGTGAAGTTGCCTCATCTGTTAGGAAGCCCAGACTTTGAATCAGAAACCTGAGGTTGGCTCCTAAGCCTGGCAAGCTGTTAAGGCCCAAAAAGATTTTCAGATGGAGAACAGAAGTGGACTATGTAATATTGGCTCTTACTACCGGAAGGTAATAGGAAGCCGCTGTTGTCCAGGCCTAGTATGCATACTGTGAGCCAAACCTTGACCAATCAACAGAGCATTTTAGGGCCCAGCCACTGACCTCAGAGACTTGGAGAACACACCGTTCAGATCAGATTTGGTTATAGCCAGCACACGAATATAGGAAGATTATTACTTGAATCGTGCTTATATTCTGGATTCTTTTAGAGAAAAAGTGAACAGGATGTGCAGTAAACTATAGCCTAGTACAGATGCAATGTTTCCATATTGCCAACCATGGGTTGGTGACTAGAAGGGCTCACACACTCCTTCCTCACTCCCTCTTTATCTCTCATTATAGGCACTGTCCTTCTCTTTCAGAGTAGGAAAGAGCTATAGTTATTGTTATACCTGTTCTGATATTTTTGCTAACCATAGTTAGCACAGTCTGCCAACCTGCTTCTGACCATGATGGCAAACTGTGGTTTGGCATTCACTTTGGTTCACAATAGTATAATAAAATAAGATTGGCACAGATGTAAATATACCCACAGATATCTTCAAAACTGAAAGGGAGGAGTAGATACCTTTATGTGATGATGGGGGAAAAGGAAGAGCACATTGGTGCTTCTGCTTGTCTGTTTTTTTTAAAAAAATAATATTTATTGATTTTCCAACCATTTAAACACAATAAAACAAAAGAAAAAGCAAAGCAAAGAAAAGAAAAAACATAAGATTAACAAATTAAGACGCACATCATTTAAAACACAAAACAATTTCAATATCTTAACTTTCATTCCCTTCTTTCCACGACCTCCTCACACCTCCCTTTTTGTATTCCACTTCTATTAATTGTTTCAGCAATTCCTTTCCATCTTCCTCTGTTTTCTATCCTATAATTATCTTAACATATTCTAATCTTATTTTTCCCTTTAATACTCTATTAGTCTATTTATACTTAATTCCTTATAGCATTTCTACTAAAGCCATATAACTTCATTCCAACATTTTTCTAACATTCATTATTTTTACAATATTTCTATAAATAGTCTTAAACTTTTTCCAGTCTTCTTCCACCGACTCTTCTCCCTGGTCTCGGATTTCTGCCAGTCGTTTCCGCCAATTCCATATAGTCCATCAACTTCATCTGCCATTCTTCCCGGATAGATAAATCTTGTGTCTTCCAGTACTTCACAATGAGTATTCTTGCTGCTATTGTTACATACATGAAAAGAGTTCTATCCTTCTTTAACACCAATTGGCCGACCATGCCCAGGAGAAAGGCCTCTGGTTTCTTCAAAAAGGTATATTTAAATACCTTTTTCATTTCATTATGAATCATCTCCCAAAGTGTCTTAATCCTTGGGCATGTCCACCAAAGGTGAACTCTAATCCTCAAATTCGTCTGTTTTTCTTTAAGTTCAGTCATAGCAAGCGTCAACTTATATTCATCAAGTTGCTTCTGTAGGGCTGGGGCTCTCTTGCTCTTTCTCTCCAGTTGTGTTTCTTTACATTCAGCAACAACAGCTTTTTCCCTGGCCTCCTCCGCAGTTTGCCGTATCGAAATAGGTTCCTGTGTCAATTTCTGGGTAGTTTCTATATTAGTATTATTTATACTTTCTATATTTAAGCTGGTTTTAATGATTGAAACATCCACTTCACATTTATCGTGTCCATTTTCCTGTGAAGCTGATCCAATGAATCATTTATCTTAAATAATGCAGCCACTAGAGCCTCTTCTGTCAACATTTCTCTTGGTTTTACATATACTGGTACAAAGGCAGCAACAAAAAAAGCAGGGTGGCCTGATGGTGAAGCTCTCCTGGATTATTGCCAAGTCCTCCCAGACCTTAATGTTTTGTCAGCAGTTGACTGGTCTGTTTTTCCTCTTCCATTAACCATAACACTTAAAAGATTCAAGGTCAGCCCCAGAGTCTCACGGTTTTTAACTTGCAGCTGGAAATTTCCCTAACCCAATTCTTGTAAAGCAACCGGTTTCAAAGGCTTCCACTAGGGGGAAACAGTTTCTATTTGTAATAGTCAATAGTATCCTCTTTTAAACAATCCGAAAATTAGTTTCAAGTTAGTTTCAATTTTCAGTTACTTTTACTCCTTTTTAAAGCAGCCGGAAACAGTAGAAACAATGTATTTCTCTTGTTTAACTAGCTGTCAATGAACGTTCTAAACGCTGTCAATGAACATTCCAAAATACGTCAGTCCTACTAGCAGCCCGTTTCCAGGGTCAGAGCGGCGGTGTTTTAGATCTCTTCGCTCTCTCCTGCAGGCATATTCAGTCCACAACTTCCCCCCCTCTTCTCCTGCCTCCAAAGGGGGGGTTTTGTTCTTTACCGATGGAAATTTAATCTTTACAAAAGACTTTCCAGGACTCCAGCTTGCAACTTCATTGCCTCAGTCTATTTACAAAAGGGGGAGGCGGACTTCCTGTTTTGAACCTCCCCGCTTCGATACCAAATTATACTTTTAAAAATCCAATTCTCCCGTTTCAGCTCTACTCACGGGTAATTACTTTAAAGTCAAATTGTCCACAGGAAAAAGTCAGCACTCTCCGGCAACGGCTGTGCGGCTTCGCTCCGTGGAAGAAGCAGACGATTCGAAGCACCGTGCCACTCACCCCACGTCGCTCCGGAGCCCCGAAAACGGGTTTCCCTGCGAGTAGGGGAGGCGCAGAAGGTGCCCGCCGAATCCCACGTTCACAGGCTTCTCCCGCCTGTGATTTTTACGGGTCTCCGCCTTCGCCGTGGCGGCCAGACCCAATTTCCCACGGGGCAAATTCCTCCCGGTCAGAGGAATTCCGCCATTGCCGATGGCACCAACCCGGAAGTCGGGGCTTCTGCTTGTCAAACCAGCGTTTGGTGGTGGGGCAGTGTTATGTAAGCATTGGAACAATGTGAAGAATCAGTACTACAATCAGTACTATTGTAAAGGTGGTTGTAAATTCCAGCAACTGTTCATTTTTCATTAAATACAGCATGAATATTCAACTGTTGGAATACTAACAGATTCTAAGATATCTATGCATATATTTTCCATGGATTATACCTCCCTCTTTAGTTCATTTTTAATGTTTGTGCTGCCTTTTACTGCACTTCAAAAAAGAAACATAAATATAAAAATCCATAGCAAAGGTAGAGAACCTTTTTTCATTTCAAGCAGCATTCTCTCTCTCTCTCTCTCTCTCCCTCCCTCTCTTCTACCATATCTATATGGGCTGCATTAAATTAGTCTTAGGGACACATATAACCCATGTGGCCACAGGATGCTCATCCCTGATGGGAAGGGCCTCTCCCCCCAGCTTGCTATTCCTTCAAAACCTCAGTTGATAAAGATTGATATCTATGGCTTTTTTTCAATCTCTTTGCCTAACTTTGGTATGTTAGATTTATTTCAGAGGTTAAATGCATTATCATCCTTGTTAGGGGTCTCTGGCTGGGCTTTTGTGAATTAAAACTGATTAGAATGGATGGTGAATACGAGGACATATTTCAAGGTCACCAGCTCGTTGTTGATGTAAAAAAGCATGACTCTGTATTATTTAGAGAGCAACCTAGCTCATGGAAATGTGAGCTTCCCTTTATAAATATTAATCTACAAATGCATCCTTCTTGTCAGAGAGGGGTTGTGATCAAATCAAACCCCGAAGCTAAAACCGTAGAACAAGATTGTGGTAAAGGATGTCTCCAAGATGTCAAGAAACATCCAGGGCACTATTAAAGAAAAGGTGAATTTGAAAACGTTGAGACTATGCTAAGAGGGGAAATAATTCATGAAAGAAGTAGAGAGGGAAGCTGAAGTTCAAGTTGCACTAGTTTTAAAAGTCCTGGGGGTGACAGAGTCCCCATTAAAACCCTTGGCAAGGATACAAGCTGCTTGCTGTGTTGGGTTGTGATGGTGGTGGAATATACGGAGAAAAATCACACCAAACCAGGCTAATGAGTAAACGTTGAATGTTTCTTGAGAAAAGCAGAGGCCAACTTCCCGCAAGCAGAGCAGATTCCAAGGGGGATAGACCAGGAATGACCCTTGAATTAATGATAACAGTAGTAGTAGAAATGAAAAGTCAGGGACAACTAATCAAGGGCTCGGTAAAGCCTAAGATCACATCTCTCATCTTAGAAGGCACCTCTGAGTTTTACCATTACTGGAACAGCATAGGAATGGAGCTTATTTGGAGCAAGCATGCGAACGAAGATGGGCTGAAAATGCTTTGGGGACTCTAAAACGAAGAAATCAATTGACAGGCCAGAGTGAAGCGAAGTTGCTGTAGAACCAACTTAATTCTCACTATTGGAGAAACTCCTTCTTGAGACCGAGAGAGAATCAATTCCACAGCCACGCTGTGGTAGATTGGTCCTATTTCAAAGTAATCCAAATAATAATTGTGCCCTAGAGGCAACCTTGTAAAGATCTAGTGCCCCTTCTCCATATACAAACACTCCATTTTCCTTGCCCAGCCACATAGTGAAAGGATTTCTGATTTCCCATACCAATAGCAAATAGGAACAGCATCTGTGTCTGCATAATACTTGGTGGCATTATTGGACTCCAATGTTTCACCATCTCAGTTGTCAATTACTTATAGCAGTTGTCTCAGGAGTTGGTTAAGACTTCATAGGACAGGAATGGAGAACCTGTGACCCATCCGATGTTGCTGGACTCCAGCTCCCTTCCACTCCAGTCAACATAGTCAATGATCAGTTGATTATGGGAGTTGAGTCCACCAACATCTGGAAGGCCACAGGTTCTCATCCTTGAGATAGGGCTTCTAAGTGCTCCTCAGATGTTATTTGGGAGGGTTGCTGCACTTTTGTTGGGGTTTATTGGGGATGTGTTTTTTGATATTGAGCTTCAGACCATATTTTGCGCTCTCCTCTTTCACCTTCATTAAAAGGTTCTTTCCTCATCACTTTCTGCCATCAAGGTTGTGTCATCTGCATATCTGAGGTTGTTGATATTTCTTCTGGCAATCTTAATTCCGGCTTGGGATTCATCCAGTCCAGCCTTTCGCATAATGAATTCTGCATATAAGTTTACTTCCAGGTAAATGTGTATAGGATTGCAGCTCCCACTGAACTCAGTGATACCTATTTCTAAGTAGATTTGCAATAAAAAGCCCTCTCACTGGCATGCCTAGGATTGTAGAGGAATAACTTCTATCACCAGTATTTTTCCTACTGTTTGTCTTTGAGCATTAATAGAGATACATTTCTGGAGAAAGTAATTTTAACCCTTCCCCCACTGCCTTGACTGAAAAGCTAGTGCTAGTTTTGCAATTCATTGAACTGATCCAAAGTAAATGAATGCAATTAATTCCACCTCCGTCAAGGAATTGCACTAATTATACTAATTAGCGTAATCCATTCTACTTTCACAGACATAAAAGAAGGAAGGCCCTGAAATGTTGGTCATATTGTTACCTTAAGAGCAAGAAAGATGATTTTGGAGAAAAGAATACGACTAAATAAACAAAGGCTGGAAGGAAATGCTTTAACTGCACTAGCAAAAATCTGAAACAAATACAGTACTGGATCTTTCAAACTATTTCTCCTGGCTAGAAACACAAAGAGCAGGTTTTCCCCACTCCCAGGACTCAAAAACTTCACAACGAAAATGAGGAGGAGTAAATGATAAACCGAAAAAGCAATACTATTATTCAGAAATAAGCAGTACATTCCTTGCCAGCTTTGTTCCTGGCACCACAGTGGAATAATGCTTCACACACACCCTGGGTTCCACAAAAGCAGCTAGACCTCATCCTGGTCTGTCCTAATAAAATGCTACATTTATTTTGTGCAGAATGTGTAACTATGGGATTTCACAGGAGGTTGCTTTAAGGGAGTATAGCAGGGTTGTTGTTTTTTAATGCCAGTGGTGTGTTTTTCAAATAAAATAATAACCATGCTGAATCAATATTTCATGTAACTTTTTAAAATACCCATAATGAGATCCACATATGAAATCCTGAAATGCATTTCAAACCTGTTCATATTTATCAAACATCCTTTCCAACATTCCTTTCCTCCTGCGCATACGTGAATGAGATATGGCAACAAGGGGAACAACAGAAACAAAGAAACAAAAATATTGTGGGCATAGGGCTTTCTGTTTATTTATTAATCTGAGTATAAATCCTGCTTTTCTCGTTATGCTCAAGGTGGCTAACCTAAGCAAAGAAGCAGCAAATAAAAATTACAGAAACACAGAACTGCATTTCAATGGGAGAGTGAAACACATAGCAAGCTGCCGTATACTGGGTCTGACCATTGGCCCATCTAGCTCAGCATTGTCTACTTTGACTGGCAGTGGCTCCCCAAGGTTTCAGCCAGGGGTCTCCCGTAGCCTTACCTGGAGGTGCCAGGGATTGGACCTGGGATCTTCTGCATGCAAAGCAGGTGCTGTGCTATAGAGCTACTTGCCCATCCCATATGCTTAACTATCTCCCATTGAAATAATGGGTACCACCAAGATGCTTACTTGGCTGTATTGTGCCTGTAGATAGATAGAGAGATGATAGATAGATAGATAGATAGATAGATAGATAGATAGATAGATTACATATCTGGTTCAATATACACTGAGCAATCATCGATGGTCAGATCTAATGGGGAGGAAATGGGAGCCACCATGAGAATTCTTTTGGATTCTTTTTACAGCTTGTATTTTCTCCTTTACATCCCAAATAATCAAAATTTATTAATTTCTAGGTTTTAGGAGGGTCCCCTCAAATCCATAACGATATATACCAATGCATTTAAGGTTTTGGTTTTTTTAATTGCAATACAGAAAATAGCATTGGGCATTCTGGCCAGATATCCAGAAACTGAATTTCTTCCTTTTAGAGTATTGAAATGTATTTGTATGAACAGCATCTCAGAAGAATTCACAGCAGAGCTGCCATAATGTGCCCTGCAATAATGGCCTGGAAGAGCTCAAATGGCCAGAATTTTCAATCTGCTGTTTCCTGTTTGGCCTTTTAGGACTTCTATTGATGCAGCGAATGACAGTTGTGACAGGATGGCATCTTTGATTGCATAGCCATTTGTCTTCTAGGTCTTAGAGTGATTTCACAAAGGATCTGAAGTGGCTGTCAAATGCTCCTGCCAAACTGATGTGGCTTGGATGGCTGACCTGGAGATTAAAGAAAACATCTAGGATTCTTCTTTCTCTCTTGACTATAATTCACTTATCTTGACAACCCAGCCAGCTTTCCATTTTTCTGCCTTCCAGCCTTGTTATGACCTCCTTACTCTCTCTTTTGCCTTGTCTAGCCTTCCTTTTAAACTCTCCTTTTTTCATGGTTTCCTGTCTCTCTGAAGGGCATGTATATTTCAAATAATGTGCCCATCTTCAACTAAATGCACACAACAGTCTCCATTTGTGTCTGTTCTGAGGCGGCCTCTTTCTCTTGCTAACTATGGGCAATTTCTCTCCCGTGGACCATCAAACATGTTCTATAAAGCCTGTGGATTTTTTCAAGGAAACTTGTGCGAAATACTCATGCAGAGTTTCAAATGTCAACAAATAGGCTAAAGCTGTATGTGAATTCCTGCAACATTTGGAGTTGGGGGTTGCATGTGGAATTTAAAGATGGATTGCCAGCTATTGGTACTAAGTGCAAATGTTGCTGGTTAAATTCTCTGATTATACATTTCAGAGAAAAAAGCTTCTCTCCTTCACAATTTGTTGGTGTGGGATGTAACTTCTCAGTCCTTTTTTTTAAACCCCTAATTCAGGTATGTGTGCATACACAACAGTCGTTTATGGTGTACTTGCAACTGAGGAGTATCTTCCTAGCTTCGCTTTGGGGCTCTGCAGGCACAATTTTGAGACCCAGCAATGGTGCCTCTTAAGACTTAACAGCAGTGGCTGATGGGTCAGCAAAGGTGGGGCTGCGCTGATTCCCAACATTGTACACAACTGCCGCTTACTGAGAGGGGGAGGGGGAGGGGGAGGCAGCCTGGAGCTCACCACAGTGTGGCCAATCTGATGCCTCAACACTGTGCTTGCACTGTGCTTACCTCCCTGTTACCTTGCCCTTTGCCCTCTCAGTAACCAGCAGTGGTGACCAACACTGGGAATCCAGGTTAGTAACACATCCCTTCCTTTGCTGCCCCACTGGCTGCTATTGAGGCTTGAGGAAGTGCCTTCTGATGGATCTCCTTGAGCATCTGTGGTCCCTGAGTCTGGGCCATTTAATTTCCCCACAATTCTAGAGTGATGCAATGTTAGGAGCAATGCAAGAAATTAAATTTTTTTTTGCCTGGCTTTTCAGGTGCTGACTAAACCTGTAGCTGTGGTACCTGGGCAGTTCATCAATGGGCAGCACAGTCAAGGAAATGCAAATGCACTAAACCTGGCAGCTGTCTAACAGTTATGGGGGTTGATTTCTGGCTTGATCTTGGGCATGTGAGCCTTGGGGTGAAGCTTTGAACATACAATCAGTGCATTTGCCCAGTTGGGGTGCACATGAATAGCTCCAAGCTTCCCAGACAGTATCCATTTATTTTAAGGTATTCCTTATTCAGCAGGGGATGCATGGACCTAATCCAGCAATTTTCTTTTTGCTGGATTGGAACAGTTCCCTTCAAAGTCATTCTGCTGAAATCAATAGGTCTTTGCCCAAGCAAATGTGTTTAGGATTAGGGTGTAAATTGGTAGCTGTTCAAATATTTTTATAGTAACATGGATGCTTACAACTTGCAAATATGTGACTTGAACTTTACAAGACATGCAATGCAAATTTGTGTGTTTGACAAGACAATATACTGCTATATATTTGCTGCTAATGACCTACTCTGCTGAGCCAGCAGCTCGTAGCAACAGGTGCAAAGGTCCTCCTGCTGAAACGAGATGAATCCGAGAGCCCTAATGTGCAAGCTAGAAAAAGCTCTCGATCATGCAGGGCTCAACACTCCTCTGCAACAGCTGCATCGTACTGGCAAGAGAGGAACCAGAGGAAGGCACATTTCCATGTGCCAAATAAGGGTTATGTACTGTTACATGGGTCATGTAATCCTGAGATTATGGTTCTGAGTTACATTCAAAATGCTTGCACTAAAAGCCCCATACAGTCTGGTACCAAGATATCATAAGAGCTGCCTCCTTCCAAGCCCTGAGATTGGCATCAGAGGTTGCACTTTGTGCCCTATCACCATTGGATGTAAAGCGGCTGGGCCACAAGAGAATAGTAGTGTCTAGGATCGCAGCTGAACATAGTTAAAGCAATATTAGACTACTTCAAGCAGTCATGGCTTTCCCCAAAGAATTTGTTAAGTGTGTTGAGAGTTGTTTGGATACCCCCTCACTGAGCTGCCCCCCCCGACTTCATTGTGTAGAAGGAACAATTGTTCAGCCATTCTGGGAACTGCAGCTCTGTCCCTTCAATGGACTGACGGCATATGCTCAATTGCTCTTATGCAAACCCGGCATTTTTGGACCCACAATAAGCAGTGAAAACAGTAGCTCTCCTTGGCCATAGTGAACCCAATGCAACAGTTGCCTAGCAACTATTAAGGTATCTTGTAACAGCAGCAAATGTCCCTTAAGAGCCATACCATTGACTCCACTATAACATGCTGTGCAATTTAGAAGAAAACATGCTATAGAATCACTTGTCTCAACTTTGAAATGGACCTCTCAAGGAAAGCATGGAGTATCGCGAGGGAGGAATTTGATTTTTCTCATCATCCTCTCCTTCAGTGTTTTAGCTGGACTAAATGAAGCAAGGTGGCAGTTCCCAGCTCTCTCCACCAGTGCAAAATATGGTGCTCCCAAAATGGGTGCTGATTGCGGATGCTTAAGCGGAATAGAATGCCAATCCTCCCATTTTAAATAAGCTGATTGGTTTCGTTGAAGTTGCTTCCTGGATGCATTGGGGGAAGGTGCAAGAAGCAGTCACTAATCAAGACTTCGTTTCTAGTGCGAGAGGTGATGAAACTCAAGCATATTTTGCAGGCAGTTGCAACTTCTAATCTGGATGCTATTTCCCCATGTGTGAGGACTTAGGGCTAAGGGAAAGACATTCTCCATTTGCCCAGAGACACTATTTATGTGTATGTTGCTGGAGTATAGCAGATTCCAGGGCTGCTTAAATTCTGACTTCACTTACGTGAAAGACAGTATTTTCCAATATCCCCAGAGTTATAGAGAGGTTCCCCCCCTAAAGTATTACTTTTATTTTGAATCCCAGCTCTGATCTGTAACTGTGGAAATAAGGCTTCTGCAGGATAACATTGATTTACTGCCACATTTCAATAAATGTTATAAGTGTGCTTTTATTTGTTTTAATTTGCAGCGACTGTTGGGTCTTCATTTGCTGCTTGTCTTAAAGAATCCTTGCCGTCATTTTGTTATCAAACAAACTTCACAGACTTTCCAAGTTACTTTACTAGTATCTGCACCTTTCACATTTCGCTGTGTCTTCCTCTTTCCAGCAATCTGTCTTGTGCCCATGAGAGATAATATGGTCTCATGCTTGCCATCCATTATGGATAACTTTTAGCTCTTGAATATGTATTTTCTGCTTGTTTTTTATTGAGTAGAAGGTTTTTTTTAAAGGAAATTTAATAGGTGTGTGTGTGTGTGTGTGTGTGTGTGTATGTATCTGACATGATTGTGCAGTGCCCATCTGGTTCCCATAGTTATTTTTAATACATCACTTGGAATTCCACAGTAGAGATACAACTTTTCATTTAATGCTAATGGCTTTTTTGTAGAGGTGAGCATTACAAGGTAGGATTGCATGAGCCAGGAATTCAGACTTGGAGGCTGCACTGTAAGAAAGGGTAACCATCTCCCTTGTATCCTTTTACGCTCCCTATAGGACTAGCCCTCCCAAACAGGCAGGTATCAACTTGATCTGTCCCTATT